AATTATTTGTTTAAATTAGGAAAATTTGATTCTATTAATCCAACCTTAGTGCGGTCTAATTTTATTAATTCAACCTTTTGATTATTCCACAATAATCCAAGCTTTGGGGGTATTCCATTCTATTAGGCCAAGGTGACTTGCTACCTATTCTTCAGGTATTGTTTTTTTTTTCCTCATTTTTTTAAGTTAGAAAAGTTGAAAATGACTTAAAAAATATATATACCAGCCCTTCCCTTCCCCGGTTCCCTCATTGATTCCGGCACATCCGAATCCCCGTTCGACAACCCCTCCTATTCCCGGCCATTCCCTCCCCCCTCCCTTGACCTCCCATTTCTGGCCAACCTTCCCCCCTTCCCCTCTCTTTTTGCCGTTTCGGCTTGCCCTAACCACGCCTCACCGCACACCAAATAAAAACCCAGAATTTTTAATGAAATCATCGGGTTCTTACGAAAGTTCCACTTTTGATCTTGCAAAACCCTAATCAAATTAGGGGTAAATTATAGGGTTTTGAAGATAAAAAATTTCTTGCAAATGGCAGGAAATTGAAACAGAGAGAGAAAGAAAGAATAAGAAGGATTTGGGGAAGAGAGAATTTAAAAATAAATCGACGATAAGGTGGGAGTTTGCGATAGTTTTGATGGTGGGTGGGGGTTCTGGGTTCGAGGGTTGGGTTCAACAGAGGGTCGGGTTCTGGGTTCGGTTTGGTGTTTCTGGGTTTCGACTAGTGTGGTGGCTGATGGGGTGGGGTTCCTTGTTGCTGGAGGTGGAGGTCTAGTGGGCAGAGGTTTGGCCGGAAAAGGGAGCCATTCATGGAGGTGTGGAAGGGAGGAAGAAGATGAAGATGAAGAGGAAAAGGATGAAAAAAAGGGAAAAAAAATCTTTAAAAAAATCAAAAAATATATTTTGGACAAATGAAAATGCGACACGTGGTAAGTGACTTATTATTATAGGTTAAGTGACCTGCTTGACTTAATAAAATAGAACACCTCCTAAAGCTTGAATTATTGTAGAATAATCAAAAGGTTGAATTAATAAAATTAGACCGCGCAAAGGTTGAATTATTAGAATCAAATCTATACTAATATATTAAAAGGCGTTCCTAAAAAGTCGATGTGCCATGTAGTTTCTATTTTGTTGTGCCACGTCATCTTCCCACCATCTAATGATGCCACATCATCACTCAAACAATGCCACATCACCCGAGCAACTAACATTAGTCCATATAAAAACATTTCGAACCCTCAACCTCTAATAACACATATGACTATTTAGCCATCTAAGCTAATATCAACTATGTTGTTTGTATGGAAAAAAATTCATATGACTACAAACCACAAGGTTTAATTAAAAAATAAAAAAAACTACATTCAAAGAATAACTCAATTATGGTTTGACAATGACAATTGCAGTTTTAAAAAGCCTTTTAAAAAAATTACCGATTATACATCTACAACAATAGAAACTCGGGGCAACGCCCGGGGTCACTCACTAGTTTTCATTTAAATCTGAACTGCTAAACGTCGCTCCCATTTTACATACTAACGCTTCCTTTTTGACATGAAAGAACGATATTGCCCTTTGTGTAAATTGTAGTGCATAATGGTATAATATCATTCCCGACCCCTCCACTTACTACCACGTGGTAAAAAAAAAAAATCCCGAACTACCACATCCGACCTCGGCCCACCACATTCGATCTACCACCAAAAATCCAAGTTAATTTTTTTTTAAAAAAAATTTATTAAGCATTAGCGGCAGGTTTAGGACAATGGATGTCGACAACGTTCGGACACCGAAAGCTTCGTCGGAGGATTCCGTAAGTCGTCGTTAAAAAAAATTTGAAATAAAACATCCGCCTAAAATTTTAGGATCCACGTAGGTGGATCCACTTAAAATTTCCGGGTGGATCCTAATGTTTTGGGCGGATGTATGTAGTGCTTTTTTTTTTTCTTAAATTGATTAATTAATCAAATTTACTATTGTAATCTTTGTATTATTATTATTATTATTTTATTATGATTAGTATTAATTTTGTGATTAGAGTAATTAGTATTATTATTTTATCAAATTTATTATTGTAATCAACTTTTTTTTCCCTGATTTTACGTACTTAATTTTTTTAGAGAGATAAAATGAGAGTAAATGAGAGTATGAGAGTGAAGTACGAAAGTTGTGAGTACCGTGAAGTGAGTCGTGGCGATTTATTTGATAGGGGTAAAAATGGAAAATCTTAAAAAAAATGCGAGCGATGCCTAGTAAAAGGGGAGCGACGTTTAACAGCCCCCATTTAAATTAAGGTAAGGAAAAATTCTTAGAATAAATTACATTGGAAGTTGGAACCATTCAATACATTGGAACCATTAAATACATTGAAACCATTTTATTTTTAAATAAGTTCCATTGGGAACATTAAAATACATTGGGAGTATTGGGAGTTTAGGACTATCTAGTTTTTGGTTGGGAGACTTTGGAATTGGGATCATTAATGCTTCAGATTGAGACCAAACCCTTAAAATGAGACTAATATATGTGGGAAAATAAAGAGAATATGGGAGGATTAAAATAGAAAGTGGATCGTATATTTTGAACACTCAATATAGAAAATAAAAGATTCCCTACGTGTTTTTTTAACGGATTTTTCACCGTATACCCTGAGTAATTTTTTTATTCACCATATATCCATAAAAAAATTTTAAATTCACCATATACCCACGTGTTTTCAGAAAATTCACCAAATTTCCTTAATGACTAACGACAGTTAACATCGTTAGTCATAAATGTTAATTATGCCACGTGACAGCCTATGATTGATTGTCCCTTCATATTATTAAATTAATTTAATTATTAAAAAACTTGAAAATAAAAATTAAAAAAAACCTCCGCCCGCAAACGGCGTCGCCCCTCCCTCCCCTTATCCTGTTGCCACCCTTTCTCCTTCGTAGAACCACCTTCCCCCGCAACCCTAAAATCCTTCCTCCACTCAAAAAACACCTATCTCCCCTCCAGACGGCGCCCAAACCCCCATCTCCTGCTCCGGTGAAGCTAATTCGTCCATTTTCACCCACTTTCCCCCATTAAACCACTATCCTCGACACCCTAAAACCCCAAAATCGAATTCCCTAAAATTTCGATTTTAGGGTTTTTTTAATTTGGGGTTTTGGCATGGTGGTTCTGGGGTGGAGATGGCAGGGGAGGGGGTGGATTTTACGTTGTCCCCGCCTTATCCCCGCCTCGCCCCACTTCGTACCTGCCTCATTCCCACCTCAACCCACATTTATATATTTTTGAAAACAAAATTATATACTTTTATACTATTTTTATAAAAAAAAATGATGTAAAATGAAATAGTAGATATATAACTAAAAAGTGTGTAATATTAACAATCTTTTTTTTTGGGGTTTTCTAAGTTATACCCCCCAAGTTTTTCGGTTTCTAAGCTGTACCCATGCTTTTTCAAGGTTATAAGCTGTGCCCTCCACCTCACGATATTTTATCAACAATACCCTTTGACAGTCATATTTGTTAACAAAAGTTAAGTTATTTTATCAACAATGGTGTCGTGGCGTTATAAATTTGACGCGTATTTCGTTCTAATTGGTTTAACACTTAAAAAAAATTTAAATCAGAAAATAAAACAATAAAAAAAAAGATTATTGTTAACGTCAAAGGTTATTGTATAAAAATTAGTGAGGTTGAGGACACAGCTTAGACGTTTGAAAAAGCATGAGCACAGTTTAGAAACCGAATAAGTTTGAGGGCATAATTTAGAAAACTCCTTTTTTTTGTTTGTAATTTTTATTAATTATGTTGGATTATGAATTAGGAGCTGGGGATTAGACGAGTCTTAGGTGGGGATTAAGTAGGGATGAATATCCAAGTGGGGGGTGGGGTGGGGCAGGGATGATTTTGTAATTGTATTCGCCGAGGCGAGGATGTGGATGAAAATTTTAGGTGGAAATGGGGATGAAAATTTTAGGTGAGAATGAGGATGGAAGGCCAACATCCGCCCCGCACCGCCCCATTAACGTCCCTAATCCGGAGTACATGAAGAGCTGTGTGCCGGTCCTACTTTAATAAAAACGGAAATTTCACCAAATGCCACTGACAAATTTAAAAATTCATCAAATGCCATCGCACTTTTCAGAATTCACCAAATGCCACTCACAAACAGTAAAATTTCATGTCGTGCCATTAATGAGGTCTGGACGTTAACAGTCCGTTAATGCGAAATGACCATTATACCCTTATTTGGGGTTAATGACGCGTGAATGATCATTAACTCTCTGACTTCTTCAATTTAGATCAAAAAAAAAAAACTCCATCATTCTTCTTCTCTGTTCTTCGAACTTTCACCCTCATTCAAACTCTCAAATCCATACTCAAACTAGAAGCTTTCGTTAACACTTGAACAAAACACTCCTAAAAATTTAATCTTTTTTTGCAATTGAAGTTGCGCGAACCAGTACAGCAGTGATAAGTAGGGGAGGAAGTAGAAGAAAAAAGCTCTTGAATTTGAGTTTGGGGTGTTTGACATAGCATTCAAGGTAATAATTGCTCTTTCGCTTTTCCATTCGCGTTTTGAATCTGGCATTTTTTGCGAAAATTGAGTTAGGGTTAGGGTTTTTTGAAACGTTCATGTTAAATGTGATTACTTGAAATGACTGTGTGAATTATTGTTACATAAAATATTAAAATTGTTATTTGTTGGTATTGATTTAACATTGTTATGTTTTGTGATTGTGAGGTCTTTGAATTCCATATTTCGCAATTTTGTGTACTGGTATGTTAGGGTTTGGTATGTGGTTGTTGATATGAATCATATGTGTTGATATGAATCATATGTGTTGATGTTCAGTATAGTAATGTGTCTGTAATTTGTTGTTTATAGGATGAGTAAAGTGTGGCTTGATGTCCATTATAGAGATCTGGGGTTTGATGTATTGGTATCATATGTGTTGATGTTCAGTATAGTAATGTGTCTGTAATTTGTTGTTTATAGGATGAGTAAAGTGTGGCTTGATGTCCATTATAGAGATCTGGGGTTTGATGTATTGGTTGATGATACTGACAGTATAAGTTTAATGGACTTGTATGAGTTTATGTTTGAGGACTCTGTTAAGCAAAATGTGATCCTTCCAAAGTACTTTAGTTTGTATGTACTGCCACCTATAACTAATAGGAAGTTGGAGTTGTGTTCTGATAGGGATATGCTGAAAATGTGGGAGTGGTTTGGACATAAGGAAACAATAGTAATATATTTAGAGGAAAAAGAAAGTCCTAGTCTGGTGTTTAAGGGTGCTGAGGATAATTGGCAAAAAAGGATTAAGGCCATGGCTGAGAAGGCTAGGTTAGAAGCTGAAAAGGCCCAGGCTGATAGAGAGTTAGAGGAACTGGAACCTTTTACAGTTGCAGTTGAGGTTCCCGTTGCTAATGTGGATGGGGGAGAGGATGAGTATGTAAGAGTGTTTGAGACTCCATTAGCTGATGAGGTTTTTCCTGGGAAATCTCAACCTAAGCCTGAGCAAAATACTCAACCATCTAGCCAACACTGTCAACCAACTTCTCCTCTCAACCAACCCAAAACCTCAGGTGTGAGGAGGAATATGACCCCAAGGAAAAGGAAGAGAACACCCAAAAAAAAGCCACCACCTCAAACCACCTCACCAGGTTAAACCACCTCACCACCTCAAACAACCTCACCACCTCAAACTGACAACCAAAATTTCCAAACTGACTCACCACCTCATTCACCTGAAGCACCACATTCACCTGGACCACAACCACCATCACCACCTCTTTCACCTGAAGCACCACAATCACCTGGACCACAACCACCATCACCACCAGTTCCTCAGGCAGAATCAGTTCCAGCTCAAACTAATGTCAATCAAACATCAGAACCAGCTACTACTATGCCTGAGAAACCTAAAAAAATGGTAGATCAAGGCCACCAGGATTTAGAACAAAAAAGAGCTGTGGAAAAAGGGTTGCTGGGGGGAGTAATGATGAAGGTGTGAGCTTAAGGAGATCTGAAAGACACAAGAAGCCACCAGCTGGGGTTTAAAGTAGTGAGGATGAGTGCTCTGATGATGATGAGAGTGAGGATTCAAATTACATTCAATCTGGCAGTGAACAATATGATGATGATTTGGATCTTGCTGACTTCATAGAAGATGAGGAAGAAGTACAATGCCTGTATGATGACATCCCACCCAAAGAATTTGAAGATTACCTTGATGGGACCCAAGCAATGGATAAGACATACAAGAATGGCAAGGTTTGGAGAGATTGTGAATTTGGAAGCATTAAATTGGAGCCATGGTTGATTTTTGCAAACAAAGAGTCATTCTATGAAGTGTTTAAGGATTTTTGTGTACAAGAAGATTTTGGAGTTTTTGTTGAAAAGAGTGACCCTACCAGGTTTATAGCAAGATGTGCTATAGATGGTTGCAACTGGAGAATCCATGCATCAAGCATGGCTGAAAAAGTGAGCTAGGCAATCAAGACTTTGACAGGGGAGCATGCAACTTGTGGCAGGCTTGAGGTAAATCCAATTGTTGGCTGTGATTGGCTTTGCAGACATCTGCAATCAGATATTCAAGCCAATCCAGATATCCCAGTTGAGTCTCTGCAAAGAATCTGTATGGAAAGGTACATAATTCAAGTGAAGAAAAGGTTATTTTACAAGGTGAAAGCAATTGCCAAGGAGCTCATTCATGGTGGATTTGGAGAGGCCTACAGTCTCCTTCCAAGATATGCTGAGATGGTCAAGCAGACCAATCCAGGGAGTTATGCACTAGTGACATGGACACAAGTTTGTGCAAATGTCCAACCTAGGTACAAAGCATGCTTCTTTTCTTTTGCTGCACAAGTTAGAGGTTTTTTGAGAGGCTGTAGGCCAATCATTGGCATTGATGGAGCCCATCTTAGTGGATATTATAAAGGGATACTGCTAACAGCTGTTGGAATTGATGGGAACAATGAGATATTTGTGTTTGCTTATGGCATAGTCTGTACAGAGAGTGTTGAGACTTGGGATTATTTTATGAGGAATTTAAAGTGCCTCTTTGAGAAAGAGGGATGCAACAGAGATGATTGGACATTTCTTTCTGACAGGATGAAGGTAAATCAGTCTCTTTAGCATACACTTGTTTTTTTTTAATTACTTTACAGTACTGTTTCCTCACTTGTAATATGGTTTTGCAGGGAGTTGATGCAACAATTATGGAGGCATTTCCCAGAGCTAGTAGAAGAATATGCTGTCAACACTTGTACAGCAACTGCAAAACAAAAGGCTTTAGTGGAACAACATTTCACAAACTGTTTTGGGTTGCTGCTGATGCTTACAATCCATATGTTTTCAACAAAGCAATGGAGAAGATTCATGCCTACAATCCAGATGTTGTTCTGTATTTGGAGAGTACCACTGAAGTTTGGTCAAGGCATCAGTTTGACCCAGTTGTCTGTTGTGACCATAACACAACAAATTTTGTTGAATCATTCAACTCTTGCACCAAGCCATAGATCTACCTGTGTTAAAGCTTCTTGAAGGTTAAACAAGCATTTTCTCATGTTTTATCACTTTGCAAATGCCATTTCAACCTAGTTTACTTTTGCAACTAGTTTTAATTTTGCAGCTATAAGGCAATGGTGCATGAAAAGGATGGCTCCAAGGTTTGATAAAGCAACTTCAATGGGGGATAGGGAACTCACTGAGTATGCAACAAAGATCTTGCAAACAAGATCAGATGAGTCCAGGTTCTGCTATGCTACACCATGTGGGGGTGATGAGTTTGAGGTGAGAGATGCACATGTGTACTATCCCATCAAACTAGGGGCTGTAACTTGTGGTTGTGGGAAGTGGCAACATTCAGGGATCCCATGTAAGCATGTGCTCAGGGTGATTTACCACCAAAGGCTGCAAGCTACAGATTTTGTATTACCTTATTTCAAAGGGAGGGCAACAAAAACACTTATGGAGAGCATATGCACCCAATGCCTGACCAAACTCAGTGGCCTTCATTCAACCTCCCTGACATACTACCACCCTTAGTGAAAAGATCAGCAGGCAGACCCAAGAAACAGAGAAGAAGAGGGGCAAATGAAGCAAGAAAGGGAAAGAGACATAGTTCGGCCAAGTGCAGCCTATGCAAAGAATTGGGCCACAACATGAAGACATGTGCAACAAAGAAAAAGAGTGCAGCAGCTGAAGCAGCAAGTGCAGCAAACAACAACACTGAGCAGCCTGAAGCAACAACTGCAGCAATCAACAACAATGCAGAGGCTGAAGCAAGCACTTCAAAGACCAAGAAGAGATCAAAGAAAGCTGCATAAACTCCACAGCCCTGCCCTTTTGAATGCACATCATATTTGTTAATGAAATCCTAATTTTTGAACATTAATATTCCACTGTGTGCTGTACCTAAGTGTTTTGATTTTTGGGAAAAATTCTGAATTATGTCAGCAAGGGCATTTTATTTTGAGATGAACAGAAAACAGTAGCCATAATTTTTTGGATGAACATGATTGCAACTTATCATATTATACTATAAATGTTTAAATTAACACTTTATTTACTTTCATTGCAATTACATTGTTGTTCACTTCATCATTACAATCACAACTATTACACACATAACAACTCCTACTTTCATAATAGAATTGAGAACTTTTTGTTGCTGCCTCACTTTCTTCTTCAATTGCTTCAATTCATCATACACATCGCTATGTCCTGATCCATCCCTATCATAACAATTTCCCCTACTTTGAGCTTCTTCCGGCTTGAGGACTTTACACCATTTGAAACTATTACATGAGTCGCACTTGTAATAAAGCCTTTGAAGATTTGATGTTGACTCCGAACTTCTAATTGCGTATTTCCGACCACAACCGCAAAACTTGTTTGGAACTCTTACATATGCATACTCGTATGTGGAGGAGGATGTGTTTGATAACAAACTCATGATTATGCATGTAGAGGGATGCAATGTGTGTTCTAAGTCTCATATTTATACAACAAAGTGGGTGCAACGGCCATTTTACCCCAACAATATTTCAAAAATGTTCAAATAAACTAGCCGTTAGTACTCATTTGATTAGAGGGTTACTGTGAAATAATTTACAAAAGTAATGGCATTTCATGCAAAATAATAATTTGTAAATGGCATTTTGTGAATTAAGAATCCTAGTAACAGACTGTTAACGTCCACACCTCATTAATGGCACGACATGACATTTTACTGTTTGTGAGTGACATTTGGTGAATTCTGAAAAGTGCGATGTCATTTGATGAATTTTTAAATTTGTTAGTGGCATTTGGTGAAATAGCCGTAATAAAAATTCACAAAGGGCAACTCCCGCAAAATTTGATAAATTGAGGGGTCTCCTACTCATAAAACTGCGATTTTTTTTTCTAAAATTAAAAATCCGATAAGGCCCTTCGACCTGCAAATTTTGTTAATTTGATTCTTCATTCCAACAGAAAACTTTGGAGGGGCTGGAATTGTCAGAATCAAGAAATTTTCAATTATAACTCAAATTTTTATCTTGTAAGAGTAATTATACTTTTTTTTTTCTTTCAATTTTCAGCTTCTTGTTTTTTTTAGAAAGTTCGTAACTTTAATCGAGATGATATGTCAATTGTAATTTTAATTGTGTACAACTATGTTAATGAGAGTGAATTTCGTAGAGTTTTTCATTTTCGTTGTTTGATATAGTCTGAATTATTGATCATTTTATTGGGATTTATTTTTTTGATGTATGATTTTGTGGGTGCTTTTGTTTGGATAATCTTCTGATATTGGCTAAAGTATGATTGGTATGTTGTGAAGTATGATTGGTATGTTGTGTAATATGAATTTGTTCCTGGGTTTGATTTATATGTTGATGTTTTTGCGTTTTTTTTAGCAAGTGATCTTTTTAAGATCTTTGCTTTACAGGTTTATGTGAATTTGTTTGTGTTGATTCCACTTTATACCCTTTAGGGTGTTTTGTAATTATGTTAAAATCATTGCAATTTGTACTTTATGTAGTGTAAGAGATGTTACATGTTATGTAATGATGATATGAATTAGTGTGGATCCATGTAAGCTCTTGTATGATGTGGATCAGGTTGATGTATGATCAGGTTGGTAGAATTTCCGAGTTTCGAGTTGATGTTTATTGATTATAAGTATAATTATCTGTACAGTTCTAAGGATTTGTTCCCTTCACCTTGCATGCTGCTCTTTTCGGCTTTTTGATTGAGGCTTTACCGAATTGAGTAATTGATGCTGCAATATTATTGGAATTGCTTGTTGTATCAGTCTTAATTTATGGTTGAATGGACTAGTATAATATTACTGTGATTGCCATAATATGTATGAGAATAATGATTAGTTTCTGATTATTATGGTGGTGGTTGATACATTAAATTAAGGGGCGTTTGTTTCATTTAAGTCGAGTGCAGGGATTGATTAATCATTATAGCAAATTGGAACAAACAAGTTCCTTTTGTGCGTTTAATCTGGTTTCCTATCGGTGATTTTCGTGGCATGATGCTCCTGAATAATGTTTATTAAATTCTTGAGTTGTGTAGGAGAGAAAAGTGATTAAGATTAGAATATTGTGGCCGTGAGAGTCAATATTATGACTATCAAATAGGTTGAAGAGTGTGTAAAACAGTACCAATTTGTTCATACCCTGATTTTGACAAGGTCACCTGTGTTAACTAAAGCATGCTTGTATATTTTGTTCACCAACTGTTTTTTCATCAGTTTCTCATTATCATTAATCTAATAGAACTTTGCTTCTTTAAGATTTCTACTGTAGGTTTTCTGGGAACTTCATACTCTGTTAAGAATTGGGAATTTTTGCTGTGCTCGCAAGGTGGATATGGGATCCGAAGGACCTAAGAATATCACATTTCATGTTACTGGTTTCAAGAAATTTCAAGGAGTGACAGAGAATCCAACAGAAGCCATTGTCAGTAGTTTAAATGAGTATGTCTCAAAAAATGGCCTTCCTACAGGGGTGCAACTTGCAAGTTGCACGATTCTTGAGACAGCTGGTGAGGGGGCGAGACCAGCACTTTATGAATTGTTTGAGAAAGGTGCCTCAAATCCGGACAATGAATCAGTTGTGTGGGTGAGTCTTCATTTGCATAAACTTTCTATGCAGATATATTGGGTTACCTCATAAACTTGCAGTATAATCTGTGCAGCTACATTGAATAACAGAGTCAAAGCCAAAATTTTGGATTCTGTAATTGGTATATCATGGCATTCATGTGTATGTTGTTGACTTCCGATTGTCTAATTGAGTTGTGAGGATGATATCTTTGTGCTTATTAAAGTGACTTTGTTTTTTTTTTTTTTTTTCATACAAAAAAAATTAGGTTAATTTTTAAATTACCACAAAAAAATGTAACCATTTTCGAATTAACCACCCATTTAATTTTTTATTTTAAATTACCACCCCTTAAATTATGCTCAGATTACCACCAATTTCAAAAATCCGGTGGATTTTCCGTCTGGAGGCCCCACCCAACACTTTCTTTGACCCTTTTGACTAATTTTTCCCCCATTTTTCTCTTAAAAACGCTCTCTAAACTCTAATTCACATTTCCTTCACAAAATTCTACTAAATTACAAAGAGAAAATTGTGAATTGAAGTTAGAAGAGAGTTTTTAAAGAGAAAATTTAGGGAAAAAAATCAGTCAAAAGGGTCAAAATAAGCGTTAGGTGGGGCCCACACATGGAAAATCCACCATATTTTTGAAATGGGTGGTAATTTGAGCATTTATTTAATTTAAGGGTGGTAATTTAAAATAAAAAATTAAACGGGTGGTTAGTTTGAAAATGATTACATTTTTAGGTGGTAATTTAAAAATTTTCCAAAAAATTATAGCAAACCAAGAAATGGAGACAATGAGTGACTACAAATTTTTTAATTCAATCCAAAAAGTATTGCCTACCCTGATATTTGTGACTTGGTCTATTTTTCAAAGTGGGATGAAGGAAAATTACTTGTCAAGTTGATGTAAATACATGACCATAATAGCAATAAATTATGGAATTTCACTAATGATGCTGTTATAATACAAGTTTTGAAACAAAATTGTCAACTTGTTCCTAATTTTAGTGAGAATCGCCTGTTCCTCTGTCTTAGTTTTGGCCTTGTTTTCTGCTTCCCGGGTCACAAACTTGTCATTAGAAGTTTTGTGACAGTGTTGAGTAAATAGGTACTTGTTCTTGTAAATCCTATAATAACTTCTACACGAAGGACCTGTTATCATGGTATTGAATTCTTTTCAATAGTGGTTTGCTTATTAGAAAGGATATGAAGCTTATGAATTTACGTGAGAATGAGGTATTTGATCGTAAGGGATGGAGGAGGAAGATTTATGTGGATGACTATACAGAATAATCACTTTTGGTTCATGTAGCCGACCCCACTTATGAGATTAAAGCTATGATTGATTGATTGAGTGGTTTGCTTATTAGTCCCCTGTTTTTGAAGACAGTATCCCTGTATTGACTTGGATATATCATGTCATTGACTTATTGGCTGCTGTCTCCAGGTTCATTTGGGAGTGAATAGTGGTGCCCAAAAGTTTGCCATTGAATGTCAAGCATTCAATGAAGCAACTTTTCGCTGTCCTGATGAGCTCGGGTGGCAACCACAGGTTGATTAGATTTTTTTCCCTTCCTTCTTCTTTCTCCTCTTCTGTTATAAGCTATGTAGCTTTGTTTATATTCGAGTTATAAATAGTTATCCTTTCTTTTTTTTTCAGCAAGTACCTATAGTCCCCGACGATGCAGAAATATCTAATACGAGACAGGTAATTGCCAACGTTTAATATATTAATATGCTTTGTCACATTCTTATTTTATGTTTCTAATATGGTAATATGGTTTTGACATGTGTTCATATTTCCTCGTGATTCATGTTATATGCCATTACAAAGAAAAAGGTTGTTTTAAGGATTAGCTGGAAAAAGATGACCTAGCTTTTTTTTCATCTTAGGCGGTTTGATTTCATATTGCTATGTGAAAGCTTAAGAGCTTGTTTATCAGCTTTATTATAAATCACTGTTGCAATATGAAAGATGAAGATACTTTTAAGTATTGATCTATTTCTTACTAGAACTTGACCTTGCATTGTGATTGCCCTTTGAATCATGGAGGACTGCAGGAGGGGAACATGGTATGTAGGTACATGAAAACCTTGGGTCCGGGTAATATAAATGGGGTTCCGTACAATCTCTTAAATATAGGCCCTTTTTTCATAGTTCCAAAATAATGGCCATTGTGCCCTTGTTTAAAGATGGCCAATCCATGCATCGTATGCTATGGATCAGCCCTCAGAGCGGACAGAAATGCTGGGCTGAGCAACATTGGATATTGTAGGATATTTATACTTTTTAGTTGTAAAAAGAGTCACAAAACGCAAATGACGTAGACATGCTTTACATACCACTTGCTAACTATCTAAGGTAGCTAGTACGATATTGCAGGATATATGATGACACAATTCATTAATATCAAATTTTAAGTTGCATGAAAACTTTCCCCTAACATATCTTATTTGTTTCCTTGCATTGGATGATAACTACTATGAAGACTACGTGCTCAGCGGATTCTATTCTTAGTTTCCTAAAGAAGAAAGGCTTCAACGTGATGAAGTCAGATGATGCTGGTCGTTTTGTATGTAATTACGTGTACTATCACTCTCTCCGGTTTGCAGAAGCTAGAGGCCACAAGTCTCTTTTCGTGCACGTTCCTCTTTTCTCTAAGATCGATAAAGAAACACAAATGTGTTTTGTAACCTCCCTCCTCGGGGCTATTGCAGCTACATGCTGATACTCATGATACAAAGCTCCTAGAAAAGAGTTTTTTTTTTTTTAGTTAGGCTTGGATTAATGTTGTATACTAGTGTGCCGATGTTCATGTTGATTCAGCAAAAGAGCTGTAATACTATGTATGTGATAATTATTCTTTGCCTCGCTTGCTGCTTGTTAGCAATGGAACTGAAGTTCCTCTTTACATTGATCAAGGGATATTGCATCAAAATCAGTTGAGTTATTTGATAGGCAAAAGTGCAACTGTTTGTCCTTAAAAGTTAGCATTCTTTGTTTCAGAAACACTTGGAACAGGTTTTACTTAGCAAAAAACTTGTATATACAGAATTGCAAATTTACTCATATTTGTGAACATTGGGCTTATTGTATTCACAAATGTTCACATATTTGTGAAATGAATGGACTCCGTTAAAGGGAGACTTTTATGTGAATATAGGATGGGAATAATGATGTTCACGGCGGGACATCACAGTGACAAAACCCGTCATGTACAAATACACTTGTTGAATACGAGACTTGTTTATCTTACTTGTTTTTAACCCTTAATCTAAGACATATTTAGAAGTTTTCATGCTTGTATTACCTTTCACTACTGTTTGTGTTTGGCTAATTTAAGTTGTTATCCAATTGCACCGGCCACCCAAAAATAAAGGTGAAGGTAAAATGAGAGATAGAAAGATAAGGTTTGTTGGTCAAATAGGTTGCTTGTGTTTGTGCTATGGTGGTAGGAGTTGTGAAAGAGAAAGTGATGTTTATTCCTAACTTAATCTTAAGAAATTAGCATCAAATCTTTGTCGTTGACAAGTTACCCAATAGATCAATCGTTATTGTGTTTTATAACCTACGTACAATAGTCAAAGTTAGTAATGTGGCCATGGGAGTAGGGGACTAGGGGGACCTTTAAGTTCTTTTTGTCACTATACAAATTCGTTACTATTTTCATAATTTATGACCGCTTACCAAACACGTCATGACTCATGAGAGTAAATGATAGATTGAGGCTACTTACGTGCTCTAAAACAAGAGTTAAGGCGCCCGAAAAGAAAGGAAATGAGCCCTCCTCCAAGAACATAGATACCTAAATGTGCCTTTTGGGGTTCAATGGTTGCTCCGATTCCGCTAATTAGACTCTTAAGAGACTTTAGAGTGATTAAAATCATTTTATTTCAAAATCAGATGAAGGTTGTTTAATAAAATCACACATCGATCTTTTTTAAAAATGCTTGGTTTATGTTTAATGTTCGATATATGATGACCATACCTGGCAATCAACTAAAATACTCGTCTTGTCCAAAAATACTCGTTATAATTGTAATTGATTTTAAATGTGCCAATGTACCAAATATAAAAAACGTACTAAGAGCATCAACACTCCTGGTATAATTTTATACCACATTGTAAAAACTCATCAAAAACATGCAAATTTTTACTACATTGGTGGTATAAAACTATACCATTTAATGGTATATACCATCCCATGGTATATACCATCTCATGTATCTTTTATTTTTTTTTCAATTGCATTTTATGAAAAAATTATAAAGTAAATAATTATGAAAAAATTACCATTGTTCATAATTTTTCAAGACCTACACATAGACGCACATATTAATATAGTTTTATACGGAGTATATATTTTTGAATTCGCTTTTTACTACCGAAATTGCTTATTTTATTTAATTAACTTTACAAACATTAATTTGTTATTTCCAATAATAAAATAAAATATAATTATAACTAAATTTATTGTATAATTAATACATGTAGGAGAGAGAAAGTGTGGTGGTAAATTTTTTTTATATCATGGATGCGGTGATTTTTGGAGAAAGTATATTGTATTGTGGTATACTGTATACATGATGTGGAGGAGTGAGAAAGTGGTAGAGAGAGACGGATGGTATAAATTTTTATACCATGAGTGATGATGGTCTAACTGATTTGTAAGTTGTTATAGATCCAATACAAAATACGGAGTATGCATTTTTGTAAAAATAATCTGAAGTAAGTTTTACTATACACCTATAGTACCATGCTAAATATTACCTCCTGTCCAAATTTCTTGCAACTTTGGGGTATTATTTGTGAGGTATAAAATATTCTAAAGTTGTGAGTAATTTGGGCCGGAGGTAGTACTTCGTATGTAATACTTCCTCCGTCCCCTTTTGATAGTCTTTTATGGATAAATTTTAGTCCCGAAATGTTCACCCCATTACATTAATATTTGTGCAAATTTAACTTTTCTTCATAAATTTTGTTTTTCCATATACTTTTATTATTTTCTCTCCCTACTTTTTGCATACCGAATGTCAATTTTTGTTTTCAATCTACTTTAACTATTCTTATTTGTGTTTATTAATTCCCGTGAAAAATGTGCATAAGGGACTATCAAAAGGGGACGGAGGGAGTAATATACTTAATAATGGTAAAAGTAAAAATCCCAAAAAAAATATTCACACCTTGTTACCACTAGGAACCAAACAAGAAAAAACAATAGTACATATTTTCCTCCATTTTAATCAAGTTTTTGATAATAAGAGCTAGTTAAATTTTGTTTTAGAGCCTTAAAAGGAAAAAAAATACTAATCCTTTCAAGTTAATGCTATTATGGTGTATTGGTGTGTCATGTTACTCATGTCTGTTAATTGTACAAGTATAAATTAAATGCCCAAATTATTGGGAGATTTATGCCGGAAAATCCCTGCAATTTTCCGGCGCTTGCATCTTGATTCCTACTACAAGACTGACACTTCTGAGCTTATCTTCTTAAACAATCGTGCTATAGACAATCACATCAGATCAGGGTCTTTAGCCTCTGCCCACCAACTGTTTGATGAAATGTCTCTTAGAGATGTTGTTTCTTGGAACTTGCTGATTTCTGGGTACAAATGCTATGGAATGCCAGGGAAAGCTTTTGAATTGTATTCTGAAATGGTATTTCAGGGTTTTAGTGAAAGCCCATCAACATTTTCCTCTGTTATGAGCATTTGTAGCAATAATAGGTTTTATTATGAGGGAATTCAAGTACATTGTAGAGTGATTTCACTTGGGTTTTGTGGGAATTTGTATATTGGGGGTTCAATTGTGGACCTTTATATGCAATCAGGGTTTGTTGATGATGGGTTGAAATTTTTGGATGAGATGCCTGAAAGGAATGATGGTGTTTGGAATTCGGTTTTTCGTGGATTTTGTAAATTGGGTTTGTGGAATGAGGTTATAAGGCAGTATTCTAGAGTAAAATTTGATGGGGTTGTGTTGAATGATCTTATGGTATGTTATTTGCTTCAGGGCTGTTGTAATGGAAACTTTGTAATTCAAGGGGAACAGTTGCACTGTCATGCTCTCAAGGCTGGGCTGGTTGAATCAAATCACTTTGTAGCTAATGCATTGGTGGATTTTTACTCAGCTTGTGGGACTCTGAGTGATGCTATGAAATCATTTGATGTTCTTCCTTATAATGCTGTGATTTCGTGGAACTCAATTGTTTCTGCATATGCTAATAGTGGGGTGTTGTTTGATGCACTTGAATGTTTTGTGCGGATGCAGTATTGGAGTATGAAACCATCTGTTCGTTCGCTTGTTGCGCTCTTGAATTCGTGCAGCAAAAGTGGGAGTCTTGTTGTGGGAAGACAGTTGCATTGTTTTGCTCTAAAATTGGGATTTGATTGTGGAAGCATCCATGTTCAGTCTGCTCTTATTGATATGTATGGAAAATGTTACGAGATTGAGAGTTCATTTAATATATACGAGGAATGCTTTTCTGAAACCAGGGAGTGCTGCAATGCTCTTTTGACATCTCTGTTACATTGTACTTGTGCTGAAGAGGTGGTCGAGTTGTTTAAATTCATGGTTGATGAGGGGATTGAATTAGATGAATTCTCCTTGTCCACTGCACTGAAAGCATTGTCAGGATCTTCTTTTGTGAGCTTAACAAGCTGCACATTGCTTCATTCTCTTGCTATAAAAAATGGATTAGAGTCTCACATAGTGATTTCATGTTCACTAATTGATATATATTCTAAATTAGGCCAGGTTGATCATTCACGCAGGATATTTGAGGGTTTACGTTCACCCAATGTTGTCTCCTTTACATCAGTTATAAATGGGTATGCCTGGAATGGATTAGGAAGAGAGTGCCTAAAATTGCTCGAAATGATGTTCCAAAAGGGTTTGAAACCAGATAGGGTGACATTCTTGTGTGTCTTGACAGGGTGTAATCATTCAGGTTTAGTAGAGGAAGGAAGACGGGTTTTTGAGTCCATGAAATCACCCCATGGTATTGAACCAGATCAGAGGCACTATTCATGCATGGTTGATCTCTTAGGACGTGCTGGGTTGGTATATGAAGCGGAAGATTTGTTGAAGTTGTCTTTTGTAAAGGATGCTTCTTTCATGTGGAGCTCACTGCTGAGAAGTTGCAGGATGCACAAGAATGAAGTTGTTGGACAAAGGGTTGCAAAACGTTTGATGGAGCTTGAACCCGAAAATTCTGGAGCGTGTCTGCAAGTTTCAAATTTTTATCATGAAGTTGGAGATTCTGAATTGTCCATGCATTACAGAGAGATTAGAATGGCAAGACAGTTGGTTAGGGAGATTGGTCACAGCTTTATCGCTTGAATTGTGGTAATGACACAGAATAGGCCATGAATCTTATTGCAAAATGTTCATATTTAAATAGTACAGGATTAGAATATTTTATTTTTGAGCTGCATTCTTTATGAAAAAATTACCTGCATTTTGATGAGCCTGGACCAATTATCCTTCTAGAAAAGGAAAGGATTTTGGCTTTAAGACTTGGGCAGTCTGGAAAGTGGAAAGTATCATCTAGAAGCTGTTCTAGTATGGAAGAGTACAGATTAATTATATAGTTGACCATAACTTATTCTTGATTTATCTATTTCTGGTTTATGGCGTGTCTGATCCTTTTGTATCACTCAGATCTTTACAGTTGTTGGGTGGTCTGCCTGATGATGCCAAAAACTATTACTCCTTCCGTCCCTAATTTATAGGCCGCATTTGATTGGGTTATTTATAAGGATTCAAGCTATAATACCATCATTGCTGTTATTATTTTATTTTTGTTATTATTTATAGTTATACATTTCCGCTACACCAATGTTTCCATCCTTAAAAAAATAGCTAATGGTTTTATTATGGGTAATATGGGAAAGTTAGAAATTACATTTTTTAAATCTTTCTTTGGAAGGTCTATAATAGAAATGCATATACGGTGCTAGTCTGCTAGTTGGAGGAGTTCATGAGCTTTTTCGACTGGTGAAACTAAGGTCTACTGGTTTAAGAGTAAAGCAAAGATATGTAAAAGATTTTTCACTTATACTTGAAGTGTAGGCATGGAGAAAGTGTTGGCTCTTCATCTACTTTCAAGCCAAGCCAGATTTTCATAAATCACTTAATTTTGAATGCTAATCTTGCATATAAATGCAAACCCAGTGTCTGCTCATAAATTATCCTACTCTAATTTTCTAATCCTGCAAAAACTCACAAATTATGGAATTATTCTATGTTCTTTTCCTTAGCTTATTAATAACAGCTCATGGCATTGCAGAATATGAGGTACATGACAAAATTGCTATGCTTGGAGAACTCGAAAGCTTTGACATATATGAAGAAGATGAAATAGAAGCTTTTGAAATGCCTTCATGGACCAGTACGAATGCTGGACATGTTCTTGTGAATGTCGATAGCTTTGGTGCTAATGGAGATGGGAATTCTGATGATACCCAGGTAATCCTGATGCAGCATGAACTTCATTGATTGATAAATCTTATACCTGCATGTGTAAGTTCTGACAATGCTGCTAAACTTGTATTTTTCTATGAAAATATTTTCAGGCCTTTGTTAGTGCATGGAAGCAGGCTTGTTCTTCACAAAAAGCAGTGCTCTTAGTTCCTGAAGGGCGTCGTTATCTTGTTAACGCAACAAAATTTGAAGGACCGTGTGCAGGCAGATTAGTTATCCAGGTAAGTTTTTATCCAGAAATGTCAATATGTCTACGCTCCAATTCAATCTAGCTGTGATGTCTGCTCTGGTGATGTGAACCCCATAGAATGTAACTATTTCTGATGAGAGTTTTTTTTTTTGGCTACTGTTGTGTGCTTGGTGTGCAGGTTGATGGCACAATAGTTGCACCAGGAGAGCCCAAGGACTGGGATCCAAAATTTTCCCGGACTTGGTTGAATTTTCACAACTTAACAAGTGTTATTTTCCAAGGCAAAGGGGTGATTGATGGATCTGGCAGTAAATGGTGGGCTGCATCCTGCAAAAAAAACAAGACCAATGTAAGTAACTCTTTGTCATCATCTGATTTTTGTATTACTGACTGATAAATTTGATTGAATTGATAAGTATGTACTAATCCATCTGTCTGTTTTGTCAATTTTCCTTATTCCTGCAGCCATGCAAAGGAGCACCAACAGTACGTATCCCTTATCGGCCTTATGTTGGACTATATGCATTTTTAATTATTTATTTTGCATGGATTGTGGGTTGGTTCTAAAATACTCTATTTATGTGATTCTGGAAATATCTAGATTTGATTGTCATGTTGTATGATGGGGTTGGTGAACTTGCGGTTTTGTTAAGCAAATTATTTGTAGATCATAATTATCGGAATCTAAAGGATGCAACAAGCTGATAATTTTTTATTTTTTTTTTTGGCTGAAGGCACTGACAATAGATTCAAGCTCTGCTATAAGGGTAAAGGGTCTGACTATCCAGAACAGCCAACAAATGCACTTTGTTATTGCCCGTTCCAATTCTGTGCGAGTATCCAATGTGCTAGTTTCTTCCCCAGAAGACAGTCCTAACACTGATGGAATACATATCACTGAATCAACAAATGTTGCTCTCCTCGACTGTAAAATCGGAACAGGTATTTTGCAACATTGAGCAGCTCCGTCCTTAAATGTTGCTATAATCTGAACCTTTTACAAATGAATACTTGGGTTTACAAATGAATACTTGGGACAATAAGTGGATTCATATTGTATTGTGTCCTTTAGTTTAAGACTCAAAGCAGTGCTCTATAACCTACATTAAATATACAAAGAAAGTGTGCACCATTTTAAATATGCACCAAAAAAGTTATTTGATTCAGGCATGCTGAGATTGCTAACTAGCTAAATTTTGTGCTGACACTTGTACACTAGGGGATGATTGTGTTTCAATCGTCAATGCCAGTTCAGCTATCAAGATGAAGAAGATTTATTGCGGTCCTGGACATGGAATTAGGTATTTCTTTCAATTCTTAGATGTTCTAAGTTCTCTAACAAGTTAATCATTGCCTCTGTGATGTGACCTCTTAAATCTTGGTGTATTCTGTATTTCACTAATATGATTTGCTACTGCAGCATAGGAAGCCTGGGCAAGGATAATTCAACTGGCATTGTCACAAAAGTTGTCCTAAGTGGTGCATTTATAAAGGGTGCAAGTAATGGACTTAGAATTAAGACTTGGCAGGTAAGCATTGAAAAGTCACATGTCATTTCCAACTCCCTTCACCCCCCCCCCCCCCCCTCCTTCCCTTCTCAAACAATGGAACAGATAATTAAGAAAACGATTATTTCAAAGAGCTGACTTACTGTGCTGGAGTAACATGACATTGCTGCATGTATACGGTAGAAGTAGGACTGCATGCATTTCTTCTCTCTCAATTTTTTAATAGTTTTATAAATCCTTGCTCTAAAAATTGAATTTATTTTAAAGTTAATATCTATTTGTTCAAGCTCTGGTACTATTATTTTTTAAATCTACCTTTGATTCTTCCTTTGAGTTTAAATTATCAGAACTTGAATCCCTCTTCTTGCCTTCTTCATGCAGGGAGGATCTGGTTATGTCAAAGCAATACGCTTTGAAAATGTGATGATGGAAGACGTTGCAAATCCTATAATCATCGATCAATTTTATTGCGATTCTCCCAATCCTTGTGGAAACCAGGTAAATTTAAGGTGTCCATTTTTTTATTTGATGTTCAGCTAGAAATATGGTTGTTTCCTGTTTACGTAAACTGGTTTCAAGTGTCTTCCATACAAAAAACAAAGTTCTTTCTAGTTTCTTGTCTAAAAAACAGAATATTAGATAATCCTAAACGTCATTTTCAGAAGTAGGGCTAAGGTTTTGCCTCTCTTGTTAAGAGAAAAAAAATATATATGCAATATAACTTAGAAACGTGAAACATACTTTTTATATTCAGCAAATATATAAAACTTTGATAATAAGAAGTAAAAATGGAAAAGACATTGAAACTACAGATGTGTCCATCAATTGACTAACACCTATTGCTTAGAGCAAGCTGTCAGCTCGAGAAGGCAATCTCTTGAAAAAGTTGTTAGGAACAGAAGGCAGCTTGCTTCTGAACTTCGGGTGCCTCAGTGTGTACAGCCCTGCTACTAGAGCAATTACTCTGAATGGAGTCACATAAAGAAGCACAGCTGCAGAAAGGGAGAACATTATATATAAGCTAGTCGCTCTTGGATCCCGCCAGCTTAGCAGGGACTGGAATCTCTCCCCTTGAGTCGCTAAGTCACCCACCACTGTCTGAATTCTTCCAGCCACACTTCTAAGCCGATCATACCTCATCCTAATGATTTCATGTGGCCTTGAAGTAGGAAATGTGTCAAATTCTTCATCAAGTTCATCTGGATGTACTGCTTCTGCCCATGAAAGTTTGATATCCATATGGGGTGGGTTACGTGGGCGGAACCTGTAGTTCCATAGACCAATAAAAAACATGTAGAGGCACATAGTTGGTAGTATCAACTCTGGGTACCATATCAATATTAAGAAGAGAATGTGAACTAGGACTGTAGTAATAGGGTTTTTCCAATGGCGAACATCACCAAACCACCGGCTTATTGATATTGTGCCTGACAAAATTGCCATGATTCTGAAGAAATTAGCTTTGCTTCTTCGCATACTCCACAGGTGGGAATCCACATCTAACATGTATTCCACCACCTCCTTTCTCAATGGCGGTTCAGCTCTGCCTAGTCTTGCTGCCACTATGTTCATGGCTTGGAATCTAAGGCTGTCTATTTGGTTTACTGTGAAAGGGTAGAGGTAATGCATTTTAGGGAGCAAGGGATGGCCATACATGTAAATCATGTTGGCCAAGGATAAGCTGGTGAATCTAACTGCTAGCTGGAGTTCTCCCATCTTCTTCACCCCACCTGGATGCAGAACAAGGAGAGGATAGGAATTTGCATAAACACGATGAGACTCGAGTGTGGATAGTCTAATTCTTACCTTTCCAATTCGTGAATCTCTGGCTGATTTACCAGCAGTACCCTGCTTTTCAGATCCGCCCAAGTGGCAATTGTCAAATACTCCCAATGTTATTACTGTACATGGGTCATAAACTTCCCATGTGTATTGCTCATTCCATTTAGGAGCAAAAGAATCCAGAATCGTTCTGGTCCGAACCCATTTCTGACCATATTTTGCCACACAGTATGCATCTGTGGTGCCTCTGCCGTCCTTTGTCTTCATGGGAAGAAGACCTTGAGCACCTAAAACACCCATTTCCAAAATTCCGACTGGTGGCTTCCAAAGTTGACGTGCTGTTGGGCGCGTGTCACTGACATACATTGTTGACTCATCCAATACATGGTACCCACCCTCAAGGCAGACTCTGAGGTGCACCCTGCTGGAAAATTTCTGTTCCATCCTCCTGTCAGATTCCAAGACTCCAAATCCGAATTTCTCCAGGTTGAACCAACGAGAATGAACTGGTCTGTGGTCTAGCCGCTTCTCAAAGATGTTGACTGGTAGCATTATCTTGCCTAGCACATCATCTTTTGCTGGATGAACACGATCCTCAACAGTGAGGACTAGCTGCTCCTCAAAGGGCTCGGCAACTACAAAAACCAGATCCTCATTCCAAAGCGGATTCATGGTGTTTGGTGGACTTATCTTAGTCCGCAAAACTTGGTTGCCAACTTGTATTTTCACAAGAAGCTCTGGAGCTCTGCTCCTATCATTTGGAATCACATCCTGAGCTTCTATCACATTCACTCTCAGGTACCATAATTTTGGGGCCATGTAGACTTTTGAACGAATGCTAAATAACCCTTCTCCCTGAACAAAAGCTGTTTCTGTGTGCCATGCCTCTGGAAAGGCTTCATCAGCTTGCGTGCCCATCCAAACAGCCAGCATTACCTCCCCCATTACCTTCCCCTGTCCTCTTCGATCTTCCAGCCTGTACCATTGAGGTGCCAATGGGCTATCAGGTGGGACCCTGGTTGGGACCTCACTTAGGTCAAACACCACCCTCCCTATGTACTCATCCCTCCCCACCATCTCTCGTTCCTTTAAAAAGACTTCCAATGTTGATGCTTGGATACGGTCCTTTGAGAAAGCAAAAACTTGATTCCACTCTGGATTCCTTTTATTCTCTAAATGCTTGGTTCGCCCCTTATAGTTCCCTAGCTTGACTTCTACATAAGGATCACAGCTTCCAGTGACACCACTCTGGGGAAGATCTTTGGCTTTCACCACTCGAACATAAAGGTAGTATGTTTGCTCAACAAGATCATAAGTACTACTGAATTTCTCTCCGCTATTCATCCATGCTCGTCCACCATAGCCTCCTCCATTGGGCCACCGCTCTCCCAGCTGAGGGTTAGCTTCTTTTAGCTTGTAGTCATTGTCATGGCTGACAGAGCCTCGTTGTTCGTGGCTGACAGGATCTCGTTGTTCGTGGCCGACAGAGCCTCGTTGTTCATGGCCAACAGAGCCTCGTTGTCTGATGCGGATCATAGCTGTTGAAAGGGTTTTTTGGGATTGGGAGATGGATTTTTTGGTGTCAGTATAGTTTACTCTGAAACAAAGGAAGTAGTGGATTGGTTTTATGGTCTTACAATAGGCAACGATTTAGAATGAGTTTCTACTGTGGAAAAAGTGATGATTTTTTTCCCCTACACAGTTATTACCTGCTGTACTTTTGTAGATGTTATCAATGGATGGTTTGCAGTGGGATTTGATTTCATTTAGATGGAAGTGTAGCAACTGGCTGTAAGTGAGATTGGTATATTCTGGGAAATATTTGGTTTGGCTTCTTGGGCAATGAAAACTAACTTTCAGTAGTGTTCTAGCTGGTACTTTGTGTGTTAGATTGTGGGTGGGGATGATTCTTAGCTCCAGCTTCATGGTCTTTTTACTCTCTTGTTGCACCTGAAAGAAGCTATAAAGGAATCAGTTCTGCCCAAGAAATCTGTAACTCAATTCACAAGCAAGGAAGTTATGCCTTAGAAAGGGCGAACTTAAGCAAAGAATCTCAAGGGCTGTAGTGTTACCCTTCCCTCTCTACTAAGACAGCAGTCCTGCTCTGATAAGTGAACAGAACAGCGGTTTGGTCAAGAATCCACGTGCTATTAATTTAAGCTCTTAGATATTGATTAATTAGCAGTGATATAACTTTTTTTAGCTATTCCAGGGAATGGGAAATTTGCTTGTTTGCTTCTTTCTTCTTTATATTGAAGGCCGAAAAGGTAGCCATTCCAATGGCAGTAGTAGTCTAATGATGTGTCTTTCCTTTTCTTTTTGTCTTTCTTTCTTACCTTTCCCCTTTCTCATTGTGATCACATGATCAATTACCTAATCTTTTTCTTGATTTCTCTTTTTCCTCCTTTTCAGTCGACTGCTGTGCAAATAAGTCAGGTGATGTACCGGAATATTACTGGAACTACGAATAGCAAGCAAGCCATGAAGTTTGCTTGCAGCGACACAGTTCCTTGCAAGAACATTGTCCTCACGAACATTGACTTGCACCGGAAGGATGGCACAACAGAGACATACTGCAACTCTGTCACTGGTTTTGGCTTCGGAACAATCAACCCTCCTGCTGATTGCCTTACCTCCAGTGACAAAGATTATTCCAGTTCTGATGATGACATGAGGATTTCCCAGCTTGGGGAATCAATAGAAGATCACTTAGTTCATACAGAGCTGTGATTTTGCATCATATTATAGGTACAAAGTATAACACTTTAGTATTGAGTTTGTTAAATACTCAAATGGAATTTTAAATGATGTAGTATACATACTTTAGGGAAGGGTGTCACTTCAGACTTGGTGAGTTCCAGGTCTAAAATTTTAACTTTTCCTATTTTCTTTTTCTAATTTGAATTGTAATGATACAATAGAAATATATTATTGATAATTGATTATTTGTTATTATAGAAAGATTGTGTAATTTACTTCTATTTTTTTAGTAAGAATTGGAAGTACCCCGTGCACCAGTAGCACAATTTATGTACAAACTTTAATGTTTCCCCAAATTATTTCACAAACCCTTATATTTATCAAGGGTTGTGAGAGTTATAACAATACATGTAATCAATAATATTCATGTCTAATAAAATGTGTTAAAATTTCAGTTTGGTATGTAACTCGACCACTCGACGCTAGTCGGGTCAGGTTATTCAATTCGGTTAACAAGAGCCACCAAAAGTGGCCGTCTAACTGAAAGGAGTAGGAGACTAGGAGGTGAAGTAGGATGATGCCTTTGCTTAAAGAGGAGGCAAGGTACAACCAGTTATTTAATCTTATTAGAATGGAAACTCATTACTTCCAACTTTCTTCCACACTATATTAAAAAGGGGGTATATTTTCTAATATAACTATATAAAGTAAACTTAAACTTAATTTACCAGTTTATTTGTTATACCTTCTTAAGTTAGGTGAGGTTGGGAGTGTGAAAGAGAGTGAGAAACCCCCAACTTGGTAAATCTATGCAAGGAAATTGAAAAGTGTCCATTGACAAAAACGCTAAGTATAACTTTATATCTTTTCACAATTTTCCTCTAGAATAGGTTATATTAAATTATATAATAATAGATGTACATGATTTTCTATGATATTAACCTCCTCTCATAACAACACTTACAAGTTAAAACTGGAGGGAGTCTCAATTCATCACAATTATAAACAAAATTCGTTTATCAAGAGGAAAAATTATAAACAAATCAACAAAATGTCCAATTAGCATACTATTCTCATGATTACACCAGCAATTGTGAGGTCCATATTTAATAAAAACTTATTAATTCATTAATTACATCATTTGATAAACAAAATTTGTTAAGCAAGAACTTCTATTTTTCATAATTTTGCTACGAAATGAGAAATAAATTTAAGTCATTTAACCATATACTCAACACATTTTACCCCGACAAGAATGGATTTAAGAGCACTCACATCAGTGAGCATTTTTTTTGCTCATGAGCAAAAATGGTGAGTAAATTTGTTAAAAATGGTTCCCCATCAATGAGCATATTGAAAAATGCTCATGAGCATTTCTGATTTTGCTCATCCTATGAGCAAATTTAAGGATGAATAGTAATTATGTGGGGCCCAGCAACTCTCCAATGTTCCTGTCAGCTTCTTCCTCAAATCAGCAAATTTTACCGTTTTTAATCGGTAATTAATTTAAAACGACTATTTTGGTCGATTTATAATTTAAAAAAAATAAATTCATCAACAGTTATAATTTTTCTTCTCTACAAATAGAGATCCATTTTGACATATTTTGGTATAATTTCAAAAATCACAAAAACACTCTATATTATTTTTACTCCCATTTCTAGTGAGATTTATAATTTATAATTGTTTAGCGATTAAAATTCAATATTATTAATTAATATTTAATAATTGTGTTAAGTTAAATAATAGTATAATTGTAATTAGTAGCACTAAAACTTCATTTAACCAAAACATAATTAATAATAATATGGTGATGTGTAAGAGAGAGAAATGTTGGTGGGGTATGTGAAAAAGTAGGAGAGAGATTGATGAGCAATTTTTTTTTTTTTGCTCACTAGTGGGATAAAATTTGCTCTCAAAAAATGCTCATGGTTGGCAAGAGAGAGAAAGTGGCTAGAGAGAAAATGAGCAAATTTTTTTTTTGCTCACTAGTGTGAGTGCTCTAATGCTCTCAAAGCATTTACATCCTCAATTGGTCAATTCCAATGGACAAGTTGGCAAGAAGAACCTACCATCAAGTGTAGAATACCAATTTCTTGTAAGAAAGGCAAACAGAACTTTACTTGTATTTTACTTACTTGTTATATGGTATTGAATTGATAATGAGAGGAGCCCATGCTGGACCCTAGAAATTTGGAGCACCTAAATAGAGAGGGCTCCATGCTAGTTCATTTTGGTTACTAGTTTTGGCTCATTGTTATCTAACATACTAGTCGACATCCTAATACTACGTAGTACGTATGTTGTTATTGCCTTATTGTTGTGCGCATATGATCGACTAGTCCATATTGGTGAAAATGAGAGCATAGTCACGCATCATGAGTTACGGAAGTTAGCACTCCCATCATCAGTTAAGCTTGTTACTAATCTTACTACAGTACGCGATTGAACTCAATCTTCTACTTGATCTTCACCTACGTGTCTAGAACAACTTTTATGGATGCCTCGCTCTAAGCAAGGAATTAAAACAAAAAACTATAAACATGATTAGAGTGAAAACTTTATCTGCTTCATCTGTCCCTTAAAGATTGCTCTAATATTTTTTTGGATATAGGAAAAAAATTGGCCCATTTTCATTTTAGTTAGAGTGAACCCACTACATTTACACTTCATATACCACCCACATACTCAAACAAATCTTTAAGGGAGTTCGTGTATTGTAATAGTAAGGCCATCAAATCAGGAGCCCAAGGGCTTAATCTGGAACCCTAGGCCTTTAATTGATAAAACATAATCTGAGTTCTAAAATGAAATTCTTATTCATATACATAGACGTAGTAGAAGTAACAGTAATATTTTACATGTAACATAGCCAAAACCAAAAAAAAATAACAAAAAATGATGCACTAAAATTCTTAACATATATGGATTAAACTAAGAAAATGCCAAAGAAAATTAACTATAATCAGTCTTTCTTTTTAATAATATGGGTATGTACATAATAATTAGGTTTAGGGTATGTCATGATCACCTTGGAGAATCTCAACTACCTGACTCATAGTTGGCCTTGCATCTTTGTCATCCTTCACACACTGCAAAGCTACTAAAGTCAGGGTTTGCATCTGAACAACATTGTAGTTGCCTTCCATCATTGGGTCCGCGATTTCTTCAACCCATGCCTCCAACGTTGGCACCTCGATCTTTTTCTCCCTTACCCATGTCACAACATCAACTATTAAGATTACTGCTATTGCTACTAATTTTCTTTCTTTGCTGTATGCTGGCATTACAGCCTGTTATTTGTGTTGCTTAGCTGGCAAATTCTGTTATGCCTTATTTGTCTTTTTCCTTTTCTGTTGGGCTCAACATTCAGTGTATGGAATCATTCATGTACTCGAGTTCATGTAATAAAGGTGTAGGTGTAATGATGCGGCAATCAAGCAATCAGAAAATATTCTCTCTCTTCCTGAATTCTCTCTCTGTAATTCAATCCTAGATTTCCTCTGCTTTGAGTATTGAACATCATCTTATTTCGCTCTTCATCAACAATGCCAGGGTTTTCACCTGTTACTATCTCTAACAAAACAACCCCAAAACTATAAACATCAACCTTTGAAGTTATAGATAGGTTGGTAACCCATTCTGGAGCCATGTACCCTCTTGTTCCTCTAATCCTTGAGAAACTAGAATGACGTGCTCCAGTTCGATTCATCAACTTTGACAAACCAAAATCAGCAACCTTTGGATGAAAATTTTCATCTAGCAAGATGTTTTGGGGCTTGATGTCGCAATGTAGGATCCACTCCAAGCATTCTTCATGCAGATAAGCTAAGCCTCTTGCAGTTCCCAGAGCAATCGCATACCGCCTTTCCCAACTCAAAGAAGTCTTGGATAGCTTCTCTGCTAGTGATTTGTTTTCCATGTACTCTAACACCAACAACCTTTGCCTTCCTTGAGCACAATATCCCCAAATATCAATTAGGTTCATGTGGTTGTCTCCCTATGGTGCTTACCTCTGCTAAAAACTCTGCATCGCCTTGATCACTACCATCTATGAGCTTCTTGATTGCGGCAACTCTTCCATCTTCCAACTTACCTTTGTAAACAACTCCATACGATCCTCTCCCAATCTCTTCTCGAAAATTTTTAGTTGCCTTTTTTAACTCATCATGGGAAAACCTCTTGAAGCCAAATATGGCATCATAATCTTGTGTTACCTTGCTTGAGTCATGTTGACCCTTAAATAGAAAGCACCACACCATTAGAACGCATATTATTTCAGCAATTCCAATTCCAACAGCAAACCAAAGCAAGAATTTCAATAGCCCTCCTTCATCCTTTGTCCGATAATCTCTTTGAAGCTGGATCGTTGTGTCACCTGCATCACAATAGAGCTTTGACTGATCTTCAGTTGTGCTATTTGGAGATAAAATAGAAGCACTGATGTTCTTGGGAACTTTGAGGTACAGAGTGCCATGAAAATAAGGTGCTTGATATCCATTGAGCAGACGCACCACCTTAGGGTAACAGTTAAAAGTGTTGTGATCAAACTTGAGCAAGAAAGCCTTGCAGTCCGGTGACTGTAAACAAAGGTTTCGGCAGCCATCCAACGTGTAGTTAGATAGGTGCTGAAGATCATAGCCATAAAATTCTACATTAGAGAAACCAATGAAATCAACCTGGCTTATATTATTAGGAACTTCAAA